CTTTGGTGTCACTATTCCTAAGCTATTTGGCCATCATAAGCCGTTTTCGAGCCGAGCCGCAATGAGGAGAAAGAAGCACTGTTCATTGATGAAGAAGATCTCTGTTGGTTACCATTTGACGCATGCTTTGTCTTCTCCCATACCTTGTTTTTTTTCCCCTGATTTTGCTCCTGTTCTCTCTGACATTTTCTTTCTCTTCCCTTGCATCTTCACTGCATTTCACACGCAACCACAAATGATGTATGAACATTGTAAAATCCTACAACGTTGAGTGAAAAACTCTGTAGATTTCTGCTCGTGAGGAAAGCCAAGAAACGAAGCCAAGAAGCGAAAATCAAAACCCTCTGCCAAAATCAAAAAACTTCCGTGTAGAATCAATTACTCTTCTCAAACAAAGAGTGAAGAACTCTGTACATTTCTGCTCGTGAGGAAAGCCGAGAAACGAAGAAACCCTCTGCGAAAATCAAAACCCTCTGCCAAAATCGAAAAACTTCCCTGTAAAATCAAAAAAACTACCCCTTGTATCGAAACGAGGAAACCCTATGCCAAAATCAAAATCTTTCTGCTAAATCAAAATCTTCCTGCTTGCTTGCGCATGACAATCATAAGCGAAGGAGGATTTTGGGAAGGAGGGAGTTCTGTTCGGGAGAGCAAATATAAAGGTTCGTTTATTTTGTTTCAGTTTGGGTAGAAATGGTTTTCGCGTTTTCATGTTTTTTTGGATTGGGCCGGTGCAGTCAGAGTTTTAGATCGAATTAGATTGCTCAACTGGCCATTTGGACGTGATTGCAAATCTTCCTTTCGAAGGTGCATTATTTTCATGGCTGTGAAGATGAAATGAAAACAGTAGACTAATATAAACTATAATAGTTATGAGAGTAAAAATAGAAGGCATATTTGATCTGTACTTCATTTTCATTTGAAAAAATGAGACAGAGAGAAGAAGACTTGGGATAGATCTGATCTGCGCTTCATTTTCATCTGAAAAAATGAGACAGAGAAAAGAAGACTTGGGAAAATTTTTATATATCTAAAGAGATTAAGACACACACACAATATTTACATAACATTTACACAGAGTATTTACATAACACTACTTTTTGTACATTTCAAGGCAAGTGCATAAATAAAGGGAGAATTACACAGTTAGTCGAAATATTTGTTAAATTGTCACTGGATCTTACATCTTTAACCTTTTGGTATTAGGTTTCTTTTATTGACTAATAGCGATGCCTAGAAGTTTTAAGTGAAACGTGTTTCTGCGAGGGCCACATGACAATTTAGTGTTATTTAGATGCGGTTTCCGTTGATAGGCGCTGATTATGAATTATAATAAAGATTAATGAGTAATATGCTTGTGTTTAAATATTGAAAGTAATTTACTATTTTTTGTCTCTCATTCATCATAGGAGCTTCTGTAATTTCTTATTCCTGGGTTATTTGGAGAATTGAGGAGAAGTCTTCTTTGATGAAAATTGCTGTAGGTTTTAATTGGTACATAGGCGTTGGAGAGTTTTTCTTTGTACTCGTTTATGTTTTCTTCTTTTCTATACTCATTTTTAATAATTTCTTTTATTTTCGTTTTGTCATATATTTAGTTATATGTCTTATAGATGCTGCCAAGGTAGTGCTGAAAATTGTGAAGTACGAAAAAAGCGCCGCAGAGAGATTTATGATAAAGCAAAAGAATCTCGAAATTCACGACGTAGACAATCGTACGCCAAATCACGAGAGTTACATGATGCACGACGAGAACTGCATGCTCGAACAAGATCAGTTGCATTTACACATAATCGTTATCTAATAACAAAGACAACAGATGAAGGAGGTATTTCTAGAGATTTTACTTTTAGTGCTTCTTCAGCAAAATAATTTGATATGTTAAAGCAAATATAAAGTGTAATAGCTAATAAAATGATGTTTGTTTATATTCTTAGTTGTCCTTCTAGCTTTTGTAGTGCACATCTATTCTTTATGTTAGTCGATGTAGATAACTTTGCTTATTTTCTTTTCATTCTTGTGTTCAGCTCTTCCATTGAATTTCGCTACACTTCATCCATCTGCAGAATTTAGCTGTAACCCTTCTGAAATAGGTAGATGCTTGTTTTTTTTTCCCTATAGTTTGTGAGTGTGAATTTGATACATCTACTAGCATAATTTCTTTTTTCTTTCTTTTTTTATCTATACATGATAGACAATGTTGACTTTTTTTTTTTTTTTTACCAATTTGTCAAAC